TTCAATAAAAAGATAGACTTTTGTCTATTTTGCTTACCACTGTACTTCCAGGGCCTTAGAACAGTCTCTGGCACATAGGCATTCAATAAACATTTGCTGAAATTAATAAATAACTGTTGCCTGCCTGGCCCCTAAAAGTATGAGTTTCTGACGAGTATGCACGTTTCTGCCTTCTGCTCAAAGACAAATTGACTCACCTTTATATTTAGCATAGGTCCTGACACATAGTAAGCACTTTATGTGTTCACTAAGTGACTAACAGCAATTAGTAATTACTTATTAAGTGCATACTGGATTAAATACACTAAAATGCTTTACACACATTAGCTCATTCAATCGCCCTAAACTCCAATGAAGTATATACTGTTATCCCTACTGTAGAGGTGAGGAAAATGAGGCTTTGGAGATTAAGTAACAGGCTGAAGAATTATCTCTATTATAGAGTGAAATAACTGTAACACAAGAATGAGTATGAAAAGGGCTATATAAAAGGCGAAAACAAAAGTGCTACAGAAGTCAGGAGAGTTCACTTTCAGTTTAAAAGGCATAAAATATTTGGGAAAGGTTCATAAAAGTGGTAGCATTTAAACTAGATCTTGAAAAACAGATGAGATTTCCATAAGAAAGGTACAAAGGAGGTAGTCTGACTGGAATGCAAGATAGGTAGATAAATGTTAAATGGAGTAAGATTAGTAAAGTCAAGAAGGGGGCCTTGAATATCATACCCTATAGGTTATTTTATCCTGTAGACCAGTGGTCCTCAACCTTTTTGGCACCAGGGACTGTTTTTGTGGAAGACAGTTTTTCCATGAACCAGGATGGGGGGACCGGTTTCAGGAAGATTCCAGCACGTTACATTTAAGCTCATCTCCTGCTGTGCAGCTCCTGTTCCTAACAGGCCTGGACCGGTACAGGTCGGAGGCCACGAGGTTGGGGACCCCTGCTGCAGACAATAAGGAATCAGCAATCAGCGAAGGTTCCTAAACTAAGGAGGAGAGTGACAGGAGAGGGGGGTGGTTTAGCAATGTTGCTGCAGCAGAACTGGTAGTGGCAGGGAGGCTACAGAAGAGATCTGGAAGGCCTGTTAGGTTATAACACCTTTTCAGTTGACACTATTTTTTGACATCTAGTAATTCACTGAATCTTCACTAACAGCAACAAGTACTGTTATCCATATTTTCACTTTAAGGAGCCTGACACTCAGAAAGGTTGCAGACCACAGAACTAAGACTCTTTGCAGCACTCTGCTGTGAGAACACACCACACAACAAAGCAATTTAGGGAGGACCTCAGTAAAGGATCACACAGCATCCAACAATTGCCAATACAGAAAAGGAAGAAAAGAGTAAGAAACCAAAGATAGTTATGATTTCTATCTTATACCCTAGTGTCTGGGCCAACAGCGCAATCATTAACGAAAATGCAGGAAAAGCAGGCCAAGAAGGAGTTCAGTGCTTATGAGATACTTAGGTGGTGACAGTTTAGTGCCTTCTCTGCAAGTAGCTGTTATGAACTGTGGGGTGGGTGGGCAAGGCTGGAGGGAAACTAAAAGAAGAAATGGGCTAAATTACTTTCTGACCCAGAAGGGTGATCAGTTACAAAGGTTACTTGTACCCAAAGCAAACTAGAAGTGGTCTTCAGTATACTGGTTAAGACCAAGGACAGAACAGTTCCAAAGCTGGCTAATTGAGTGGCTCAAAAACATAAGAGATCAAATTCTTTCCATCTTCTCTGCCCTCACACTTACAACTGCCTGCTCTTACAAATTCTGCCTCATGATTCCAGCACTGCTAATAGCAATTTCAGAGTCAAAAAGGGCGCTTTCCTTTCCAGAGGCAAAACACCACCCTACAAATAGCCCATATTTTGGTTAGAACCATCTGCCTGAGAAAGTGGTTCCCCTACTTGCTATCTGTGACTTTTCACAAGTTACTGAACTTCTGTGTGCTTCATTTCCCTCAACTAGAACATGAGAGTCTGAGGAATGAGTCAATATTACAGTATTTAGGCACTAGACCTTAAAAAATATATTACAGTACTTAGTACCTAGCACATATGAAGCTCTCTATATTTTTGGCTATTATAGCTTTTTAAAATCTGTTTTGTTTTGTTTTTTTTTTGAGGTTCTTACACTTTGGTGATACTTGGATTAATATATAAGCTGGGCCCTGGCTGGGTGGCTAAGTTGGTAGGAGCATCATCCCATACATCAAAAGTCTGTGGGTTCAATTCCTGGTACGGGCATGTATGGAGGTAACTGACTGATGTTTCTCTCTTACACTGGTGTATCCCGCTCTCTCTCCATCCTTCTCTCTAAAATCAATAAACATATCCTCAGGTGAGGGGTACACACACACACACACAAAATAATAAAACAAAATCTGGCAAATCTCTTTTAAATAAGGAAGGCCCTGGCTGGTGTGGCTCAGTGGATTGAGCGCCAGCCTGCAAACCAAGGGGTCCCTGGTCAGGGCACATGCCTGGATTATAGGCCAGGTCTCCAGTTGGGGACGTGTGAGAGGCAGCTGATCAATGTTTTTCTCCCTCTCTTTCTTCCTCCCTTCCCATCTCTCTAAAAAATAAAATCTCTAAAAATAATAATAATAAAATAAGTAAAACAGAAATATATAAGGAAAGTTTTTCCTGAAGTTACCCAGAATTCCCTTTAGGTCTGATTAGCCAGAACTACAACACATGCCCACACCTAAACCAATCACTGCCTAAGGAGTTAAATGACAATGATTGGTTTTGAGTTTATATTAATCAACACCTATCCCTGGGGCTGGAGAGGGGCTGCCAGATTCCCCATTAACACAAAACCACCAGTGTCAAAAACAACAACAGCAAAAACCCCACCAGTGTCTGCCAAGACAGTCTTGAGGGGCTGTGGTCTCTGCTAGGAAAGGTGAGAATACTTAATTTCCAGATTTGCAAGCAGCACCTCCACAGGGCTCCTATGGCAGTGAAACCACTACAAAGGTCTGTTAAGGCAAGTGAAGTTTGGCACAGGAGAAACAGCACAGGATATAGGCCAGAGCTGAAGGAGAGTATGAGAGAAATACAACAAGTTCTAGATCCATGTAGGTGTGGTGGAGGCCACCAGCCTTGGACTAGTTACCTGATCTCAAAGCCTCAGTTTACTCATTTATAAATGAGGAAAACCGAAACCAACTCAGATTCAGTGTTAGAATTAAATGTATCTCTACACTAGTTTCACTCCCATGGTACAAGGACCAGCCAAAACCAAAACACAAAACAACAAAAACCCCACAGTATGGGGGTGGTGAGAAAGACAGGCTGGGATGGGGAGAGGTACCTGAAGTGAAGTCCGAAAGAAAACGGAAGGCAGTCTGACACTAGACTGGAAATCTTTCAGAACCTTGGTCAGGTTTTGTTGCCCCAGTGAAGAACTTTCAAAGTCTACCAGAAAAGGAATGCTTTACTTCACACCTTATGTCTTCCAAAAGGTTTATGTGCAGCAAAAGGGGTAAGAATCTCATTTCTGGCTTTGCTGCTTACTGTGTTAATCTGCTCTGAGGTAGTTTCCCAATCTGTAAAAACTGAGTATATCTCCACCAATTTTATTTCACTGAATTTAATAACTCAACACCATCTCATTCCTGTTAGGCATCAGTGCTCCTGAAGTTGCAGGCCAATACAAAATCTGTAATATTAAAGCCCCTAAAATTTCTCATCGATAGCTAAAGCTGCAGTTACAAAGACAGGCTTATCAATCTTCATGGAGGATTCTGGAAATCAGAGTATTTAAGAGAAAGAGACTAATATTATCAAAGGTGGAAAAGAATCTGTTCTGATTTCTTTCTTTTTTAAAAAAGATTTTATTTATTTTTAGAGAGGGGAGAAAGGGAAAAAGAGACGGAGAGAAACAGCAATATGTGGTTGCCTCTTCCCTGCCCCCAACTAGGGACCTGGCCTGCAACCCAGGCATGTGCCCTGACTGGGAACCATACTGGTGACCCATTGGTTCTCAGGCCGGGGCTCAGTCCACTGAGCCACACCAGCCAGGGCTGTTCCGATATTTCTAGACTTCTTACTAGACTTCCAAGGCTATGTTGTATCTTTCGTTTTCAAACATCTTAAGAACACTGTCGCCCTGGCTGGTGTGGATCAGTGGATTGAGCACCAGACTGCGAAGCAAAGGGTCGCTAGTTCAATTCCCAGTCAGGGCACATGTCTGGGTTGCAGGCCAGGTCCCTGATACGGGGCACATGACAGGCAACCACACATTGATATTTCTCTCCCTCTCTTTCTCCTTCCCTTCCCCTTTCTCTAAAAATAAATAAAAAAAAAAAAAAAAAAAAAAGGAACACTGCCCCTTCTCCTCTTCCTAGAGATGAGTAAATAAAGGATCAAAAAGAAAAATAAAATTTATTGAGGCCACACTAAATGCTTTCCATATGTATCACTGCATTTGACATCAAAGTGACTTCTCTGGATGAGAGCTAGGAAGCCACAGGCAGGATTAGACTAGATTTGATTCTACAGTCAATGCCTTGCTCAGGGGACTAATTTGTTTTCTCAGGATCAGGGGTCTTAACAAAACTCAACCTCAGAGTCTCAGTTAGCTCCCCGCCCCCACATACAAACAATATTTGGTGTTAGCAATTCAATTTGCACATTTACAATTTCCTTCAGACTAAGTATTTCAAAGTGGGCTAACTAGCAAAAAACACACACAAAAACCACACACAAAAAAACACCTTTACAACTTTGCCTAGGGTTAAAAGCTTTCTTTTAACCAGCCCAAACATTAGGGGGCCAGACTATAAACTCTGGCTCTGGAGTAGTCACCCTGTTTTAGGCACTGTGTATCCTTGGGTAAGTTACTTTATCTTTTTAGCCTGTTTCTTTATCCATAAAATACGGTAACACAGTAGTATCAAGCTCATTAGGTGGCTCATATTAAGTAAAACGTGACCTGTAAAGCACTCAGAACAATACCTGCGCAAAGGAGGTGCTTAGTAAATGTATTTACTTACTTTGCTGGAGAGTAAAAACCACTGATGTTTCTGTCCTTAAGACCAAAAGCTTTGCCATAACATTCTCCCTGAACACAAACCTTGCCAGCCGGAGTCCCTTAAGAGCGAGCAACAGGTCGCTCTTTTTCTCCTAACCAGGGCCAGGGCCAGAAACCTAAACACCCCAACCTACGTGTGGCCCCAGGACTTGGCCTTTATTTTCTACCACCACGAAGGCTGTCACTTTGAGCCCAACCGAACCACCGCATTTCCGCCTGGGCTCGGGAAGTTCTCCCGGCCTTGAGCCGCCCAGGCTGTCTTTGGCATGGCTGCCCTTGGTTCCGGGCCGGGAGCTGGCTCGCCTGGCCTCCCCTCACCAGAAGAGTCTACCGGCGACGTAGATAAGATTGCCTTGACTTCAGGGAAACCAGTGAATACAGTCAAGATGCGCGTCGCTCAGTCTCACGCCTGGAGGAGGATCCCTGAGCGCCGCCCGGGCCTGCGGCGCGCAGCCCGTCCCCCAGCCCTAGTCTCCGCGGCGGAGGCTGGAGGGTTGGCCTCTTTCTAGTCCCCAGGAATGCTTGGGCTCTAGCCCAGGGCCACCACGTGGGGGGCTCCAGGCGTGGCAACGTGAACCAGCCCCCGAAGACTGCTGCCCGCATGGGCCCTGGCCGGCCCCAAACTGGCCTGAGCGGCACTCCCCGTCTGGTTTCTCCCCAAAACCTATTTAGAGGGGCCTCAGACATCCCTTGCAGATTGGAGGCAGGCTGTCGCCAGACCCCAAGCCCTGAGACTGCCTCCGCTCTAGTCCCAGTTGCCTGGTATCCTTACTCACCCATCGCGGCTCCGCTCGCTCCTACTTGGCGGCGGCGGCGGCAGCGGCGGCAGCTTCAGCAGACAATATGGCGGGCCTGAAGGACGGCAGCCCGAAACGGACAAACAACTTACCATTCAACCCTAGGAAGAAATGCGCCCTCAGCCCTACCTCCTAGTTTACACAGAAAAACCCTTAAAGAGACCGCAGCTGTTAAGGGCGAGGATTAAGGATGGAATATGAAAGAGATGGGTGGAGGCTGGAAGAGATATCTGCTAAAGATAGCATATCTAGGAGTTCTCATCTTTTTCTGTCTCTATTTCCTCTTTATTGTGCAGTCTCCTCCACTACAAACTTTTTCTCCCAGAAAATAATCCTTACTTTCATAGTTAAAGCCAATCATAGACCATGAACTGAATATGAGTAAGGACTCACTTTAAGAGGGGAAATGAGGTGCACAAGGACATAGAGATAATGAAATGAAGAATTCAAAAGTAAACAGGATTACAATCTTATTGGGAAATAGAAGTAGAAAAATGAGACCAGTGCAGTGCTTTAAAGTTGGCAGAGCTATTTCACCTGTTCTCACAGCAAGCTGTCTGAAGGCAGAGGTCAGTTCTCTATTTTTCATCACTGTCTCCACCTAGAGCATATCTAGTATGTGGTATGTGCTCCATAAATAACTGTTGAATGAATAAACAAACAAATGAACAGTTCTGTGAGTTACACAAAACATGGGAAATGATCTCTCTTTTAGAGATGAGAAAATTGAAACTCTGAGTGTTCCTGTGCCTTTTGAATCATGGACAGTATAGCTGGTATACATTTGGCCTCTGTTTTTGCATAATAATAGGCCACTCCTGGTGTTCCTTACCGCAACGCCCAGAGATAAGCTGTCTTCAAGTCACTGGTCCCAAGAGGGAGCGGTTTTTTGGAAGCAGAATGAGGACCTGGGCTTCCAGGTCCTGTCACAACAAATTGCCAGTTCTAGTGGTGTGCCTCCTCTGTTAAGGGAAACAACTCAAAAAGCCAACTTTTAGAACTCAGAGTCAGGAAAGGGAGTACTAGCCTTCTCTTTCTACTGCCACTGCTCAAGGTCAGACTTAGTATCTCCTGGTCTATTTTGCCTGCCTTCACCTGGCCCCAGGCTCCCACTTGTATCTACCACCTCCTTAAAAACACATGCCTTATCCTGTTATCCCTCTGCTTATCAACTTCCTACTGTCTGTCCTTAGGCAGTGCCCCAAAATTTCAATCTGAAACGCAGACTAGTCTTTACTGGCTTCTTGGGCCACTCCAGGATCCATCCATATTTAGGAGACCAGTTTTCCCCACATATGCTATTGATGGGGTACTCAAGAGTTGGAAAATTTTAGTTTAGGTAATTGCTAATAAGCTTAGTAATCAATATAGGTAAAAGCTACCGTTCTAGGACTGAAGTTCCATTTTTACTTCAGGAGACCCTAAACAGTTCCACCTTTCTGCCTCAGCAGGACTGCAAGCAATTCAATATGGTATCTGAGCCATTGTGCTCCAGGGTGAGAGTCTGCCTCCCAGGACACAGACAAAAGAATGCTCCACCCTCTATCTGATTAACTTTGTCCCTGAATTCCAAACCCCTTACCTACACTTTTCTTCTCCTTATAAAAAGTCAGTTTAAAAGGGAATTTAATAATAACAAAAAAAATTTAAAAATTGAATTTAAGACAGTCTGTTAGGGTACATAACCCACTAATTTCTCAAATCGCTGGCCATCTGAATAAAGTGCCCATAAAGATTCAATACCTGTCTCTGCTTATTGGTTCTGGCGGTGACAGGCAGTGCCAATGCTGGCTTTTCTGGTTTCATATTCTGGCCACTCCTCTGGGACGGACTCTGGAACTCTCCAGTAAGCCTGGGTATTTGGCCGGGAGTCCCACTGGCTGCCTGGACTTGGTGGGGGGGGGGGGGGGGCGGTGGCGGCGATGTGGATTTGGAGACTCCCTAGCAACTTCCAAGTGATTTTATTTGGGAACTCTCCTCCTCCGATCTGCACCTTGTCTTTACTTGTGATTGAATCACTGCTCTTTCTGGTTCAGATTACAATCCCAGGTCATGATTTAGATCGGCAGGAATTAAGGTACCTTCTGGTTTACAGAGCCCTGTCTGGTAAAAAGGTGTCTTCTGGTTTTTAATTAAGATGCCTTCTGTTTTTTGTGACGTCACAGAGTTCTGTCTGGTAGAATTGGGGGGAAAACCTCCACTTCAGGAAACAGCCCTTTTGGGAAAGTTTTGGCTGATTGGTCCACCTATGCTCAAAAACCTGTGACTAAAAAGAAAGTGCTTTTTATTGTAATACTGTCTTATGTATTGTATAATTTAGACTCAGGAGAGTACTGGCTGCTGAAATTGCTGTATTAGACTGCAACTGGAATTGTTTTGTCAAAGATCAGGGAAGTGGAATGAAGCGCCTTACCTAGAAGCTTGCATGAGTTTACATAATAAGGATGCAGGATTAAAAGGTAATAGATTAATGGTCCAGAGAAAAAGGAACTTGCCTGTGAATGATAGCAAAAGCTCAGAGGAGAGGGCCCAGGAAGATCCGTATTGCTGCAAGCATGATCATGGTTCCCATGGCCCCTCCAGCCCTGGGGATCTTCCTCCTTACTCAGCTGAGGGAACTGGGGAAAGTGAGCCTGAACTTGTCTCATCTTGAGCCCGATCTTGAACCTGTCAGGGACCCAAATTCGGTGGAGTACAAGACCCTCCCAGGGGCTTTTGTGAAGACTTCCAATGGAAGTAGATACAGAGGGCCAACTCGCTAGATATTATTGGGCATGTCCTCTGTTTTCTACATCAGACCTGTTAAACTGGGAAAACTCTGAAAGGGCCAGAATATATCCCTTTAGAATGGATGAAGGAGTGCACTCAGGCTTTTGAGCCCCTGAAGGTGTACCTGGCTTCTTGCACTGGCCTTGGGGCTTCAAAACCCACTAAAGTGCTCTCAATTATACATTCTTGAAAGGCAGGGCATTGCCCTAGGAGTCCTCACCCAAATGCCTAGTGACATTCCACAGCCCATCACATACTTAAATAAATTAGATCACACTGTCCAGGGGTGGCCAGCCTGCTTGAGAGCTGTGGCAGCCACCTGTGAACTTCTAAGAAGCTGAAAAGTTTTCCTTAGGACAGCCTATCACCACTTATGCACCCCACCAAGTGTTGAGCCTGCTGGAGCAAAAGGGAGATTTGTGGCTCACTGCTGGAAGAATGAGCAGGTACCAAGCAATCCTTCTCAACAATCCCAACATCTCCCTCAAAACTGTAAGTTAAATCCTGCTTCTCTTCTCCCGGAGCCTGACTCGGGGGCTCTAATACATGACTACTGAAATAATTGATGGTTTATGCTAGCTGAATTGATTTACAGGACCATCCTTTAGTAGAAGCAGACTGGACTGTACATGTGGATGGAAGCACTTATATGGACAAAGGAAACAAAGGCTAGTTATGCAGTTGTGACTCTTGAAGAAATAGTGGAGGCCTTGTGCCAGGAACCTGTGCTCAGAAAGCTGAACTGATCGCATCAATGAGGGCACTGGAATTGTCGCAGGAAAAGAGCATGAATGTGTATACCCACTCAAGGTACACTTGCCTAATTTCGCATGCACACGGTTCCATCTGGAATGAGAAATGACTATTAACTTCCAAATAAAAAGGAGATTAAGCATGCAGCAGAAATTTTAAAATTATTAGAGGCAGTTCAAGTACCTTTACAGGTGGCAGTTATGCACTGCCCCGGGCATCAGAAAGAGGACACTGCAGTGGCAAGAGGAAGCAATCTGGCTGATGGAGCAGTGAGAGAGACTGCTAAAGGAACGCTTATAATGCCTTTGGTACTTGTTCTAGACTTGCCACATTTTGACCCTGATTATTTGACTGCAGACTTAGAGAAAGCTGAGAGACGGAGTTTTGATGAATTAGGTGCTGATAGTGGATGGAGAAGGAATAAGAAAGGAGTTATACTGCTTCCTGAACATTTAGTAGAGCCAGTCATGAAACAGTTGCACGAGGCCACTCACTATGTGAGGGACTCGTTAACCACATATGTTAAAACCTTGGCTCACAGGTGCTGGAATTTCTAAAGCCATATGAAAAGTAATTGCTAGATATGTTGTGTGCCAGAAGAGCAACCCTAAGACAGATCCCTATCAAAAGAAAGGAGACAATACCAAGGACAAAGCCCATTTGAGCACTGGGAAATAGACTTTATCCAGATGCCGAGGGTCTGATGGTAGAAATATTTGCTAGTCTTTATTGACACCTTTCCAGGATGGATAGAAGCCTATCCTACTAGAATGGAAAAATCCTTAAAAGTAGTGAACAACTTACAGAAGAAAATAATTCCTCACTTTGGCCTACCCAGTGGCATCCAGAGTGATAATGGACCTGCTTTGTCTCAGAAATGACACAGAAGGTTAGTGAATTTTTAGGAATGAAGTGGACTCTCCACACAGCATGGAGACCTCAGGCCTCTGGGAAGGCAGAGAAGATGAATCACACTTTGAAGAAAAACATAGCCAAGCTGTGTCAAGAAACTCCTCTGCATTGGTATCAAGCTTTACCTATTGTCCTGCTCAGGATGAGGGTGGCTCCTCAAAGTGGGATTCGATTGAGTCCTTATGAAATTGTGTATGGGCGACCATTTCAGGCTATGATTGGAGTGGGAGATATGTACATAGATCAAGAAGTGAAGGTAAAGAAATATGTATAACATTTAAGTCAGACCTTAGCTGTCATGAATGACCTTGCTTGTATTAGAGAGCTCTCCCCCACCGGTTCACTACATTTCTGTGAGCCTGGAGACAGGGTGCAACTCAAGACCTGAAAGACAGGATCTCCAGAGAGTCAACAACAAGAAGAGTGGTCTGAACCTTGGGACGTGCTCCTCATCACCCCCGGCAGTGACACTGCCAGAAATAAAACCCTGGATTCATCACACAAAAGTAAAGAAAGCACTGGAGAACAATGGACCGCTGAACCTCAAGAAGACCTGAAAGTCATCTTTTGCAAACAATGACATATTCATTACTTTTTGTTTAACCCCATGTTATGGAGAACTTGTTCCTTTCAAATGAGATGAAAATATTTGGGTATTTTTAGCAAAAACATTGTAAACATCTCTGAATTTTGTCTTGCAGGAGGAACCTAGGTTGAACACACTTTCACTTCATGTTTTATAGGTGCTTGTACTCCCCTGGAAAGCCTTCCAAATTATACTTAGTTTAAGCATATCAATAAGAAAATAACCTACTCCGATATTTGTAATTGGGGTCCTGTGGTAACTCTAAAGGACAGGGAAATGTTTTCCTTAAAAGCCACTAATGTAGCCCCAGCTGGAGAGTGTGCAACTTTTGTCAACTGTGCTAAAAACTGTTTTGTGCTTTTATCACAGCTTGTTGCCTACAATGTGCCCCCTTCTGTGGGTCTGCAATTAAACATGTTCCTAAGCCTCCTACCAGACGGTCTAATGCTAAGATACGTTCTCAACAACAAAATGAGCACTTCCATAGGAAACTGATCTCACAAAAATAAGGCCGCTTAGACTATCAGTGGGGGAATACTGGGGGACTCAAGAGTTGGAACATTTTAGTTTAGGTCATTGTTAAGAAGCTTAGTAATCAAGGCCCTGGCTGGTGTAGCTCAGTGGATTGAGCACGGGCTGCGAACCAAAGCATTGCAGGGTCGATTCCCAGTCAGGGCACATGCCTGGGTTGGGGGCCAGGTCCCCAGCGGGGGCCACGTGAGAGGCAACCACACATTGATGTTTCTCTCTCTCTTTCTCCCTCCCTTCCCCTCTCTAAAAATAAATAAAAATAAAATCTTTAAAAAAAAGCAGCTTAGTAATCAAAGCATGTAAAAGCTATTGTTCCAGGAACTGAAGGAACTGAAGGTAGGGCCCACCCTGACTCCAGGAGACCATAAGCAGTTCCACCTTTGTGCCTCAGGAGGATGGCAATTCAGACGGTATCTGAGCCATTCCGCTCTACTGCCCAGGACACAGGTAAAGACCACCAGGGCATGGATGAGAGAATGCCACACCTTTTATCTGATTAGATTTTTTCTATGAATTCCAAACCACTTACCTACTTTTCTTTATAAAAAGGATAGGTTTAAAATGGAATTTGAGACAGTCTGTGAGCCCTGGCTGGTGTGGTTCAGTGGATTGAGTGCCAGCCTGCCAACTGAAAGGTAGCTGGTTTGATTCCCCATCAGGGCACCTGCCTGGGTTGTGGGCCAGGTCCCTGTTTGCAGGTGTGTGAGAGGCAACAGATCCATGCTTCTCCCTCACACAATGATGCTTCTCTCCCTGTCTCCCTCCCTTCCTCTCTAAAAATAAATAAAATCTTTAAAAAATTCTCGACCTTTACATAAATGAAATAAGCAAAGCAAATGCCACATCTCTCTGAGGGTTTATGTGAGTCAAACTGACAACATATGTTGGGAAGCAAAATCTCAAATGCTCTGGAAAATGCTACAGTATCTAAAAACAATTCTCTATAGGTTTGGACATTCTTATGTTGTCAGAATCTTCCTCATCTTCATATCTGTCCCAGCGCCTAAAGCAGTGCCTGCCTCAGTAGAGACAACGGAAGCATTTGCTGCAGTGTCTGTCTCCCACACACCTCTGCGGGCTCATCTGCACATCCTGTGGTCAAAAAGGGCTCGGGGAACACAGGCAGACCAGATAGATGAGCCCCGGTGACTGTCTCCTCTCCTCCCAGCCCCTGGCTGTGCCCCATAGGAACCTGGTGGCCCTCCAAGCAGCTTTCTTTTCACTCTGGTACTTGGCCTTGCTCACAAACCCTCTAGTCTAGAGCCATCCATCCTCCCTGATCCAGGCCCTGCAGACTTTTCCAGCTCCACCCCACCCCACCCCTACCCACTCGCCTGATCCTTTCTGCTCCAGGAACCACACCCGGCTTACCCTCCCCAGATACACCAGGATCTTCCAGATCTCTGCTATTGCCCGTGCTCTTTTCTCTGCTTTAAGTGCCTTTCTCCTCTTGTCCACATAGGAAGTGGCTGATACAACTCATGCTATCCCCTCTTCCAAGAAGTCCAGAGAACACTAAACGTTCTTTCCCCTGTGCGACTATCACACCCACCCCAGTGTAGTATGCCACGTTCGTGTCTGTGCCACACCTGGGACAGAGCATGGCTGCTGCGACTCTGAGCTGAATCAGGACATCGCGTTCTGCTAGGATAGTCGTGTCATCACCTTTTCTGGCCCGGCTGTATCTTGGCTGTGCTACCCTGGGCGAGTCACTCAGCTTGTTTCCGTCTAATGACTAGGAGTGACAGTACCCACCACCTAGGGTTGTCATAAAAGTCGCAGTAAGTCAAGGCCTGTGATACACACACAAAGCAGCATCTGGTGAACAGCGAGCATTCAGCTAGCAGCAGTGTTCACTGTGACGGTGACTGCCAGGGCCTCATCTCCCCTCCACTGGAGAAGGCAGAGCTCACAGCCCCAGAAGACACATGTGAGGCTTCTGGCCCAGAATCCCAAACCTCTGTACTCTGCCTGACAGGCAGGAAGTGAAAGAAAGAGGACACGGGCTCATTAGGAGTATAAAAATAGGACTTTTTTTCCTCATAATCATATCAATTATCAAAGAAAGAAACAGTATGTAACAAAAATACAAAGCTCTGTGGACTTTTTTTTGTGTGTCAGTTTTTGTTTTTTTTCCCCCCTCACCCATCCCTCGCCAACAGCCCCTTCCCAGGTATGCCCTGGCTGAAGCCTGGGTCGCCCTGGGGCTCAGGAGAAGCGGTGGTCCAGGTCCCTCTGGGGGCTGGCGGAGTAGGAGTAGGCCTTGCCCAACACCAGACGGTCCCGCAGCAGCTTGAAGAAGGCGTAGTAGTTGCTGAAGAGGATGAGCGCCAGTGAGATGGTCTGGTGCCACTTTTCAGAAGACATTAAGGAGTAGAGCTGGTAGACAATGACGGCACCCTCTAGCAGCAGCAGGATGTTGAGGATCCGCAGGGGTTTGCTGAAAAAGAACTGACCAGAAAATAGTAGGCATGGACTGGAAAGGACGCTCCAGAAGCCTGACTCTGATGGGCTTGGCGGGCCAGTGAAGGGGACGAGCTCCTGGGGCCCCATGCAGACTGGGGTAGGGAGAGAGACTTCGGAGGGTTGGGCACGGACTTTGCCACCTCTCTGCCTTTGCTTGTGGTATTCCTTCTGTCAAGACTACTACTTCCCACGTAAGTTGTTTAAGATCCTGTTCAACTTCTGCCTCCCCCGGGAACCTTTTCTTGCTTGCTCTCGCAAAGGTTTTCTGTTCTAAAATCAACACTTTTACATGTGATCCTCCTGGATACCTTAAGACCTGAACAAACTAGAATCTCAAGACACAGGCATGGAAAGTTATTAGAGACTCTACAGCCTGCACTACCCACTACAATTCCTGTGTAGCCTCGCCGGCTAGGCCAGAAGCTTCCAGGGGATATGGCGACACCTCACTCTCAGCTGGTAGTTAGCAGGCACTCAAGGAAAACATTTCTGATCGGTTCAAAAGAGTGATTGATATCCAGGGATCCAGATTCTGCAGGAGCCGAGGTACCTGAACTTCAAGAGCTGCCTACAGGATGGGAGAAATAGCAGGAAACGGGACCCTAAGACACCAACCAGCATGCCAGGCTCAGCTCTGCAACTGGCAGGCTCCGGGACCTTCGGCAAGACCCTTTCCTGTCTGGGCTTCAGGTTTCCCTACTGCGAAAGAAGAGATTGCCTGGATCACTGATTTCTCAAACTGTGTTTCTTAGAGCACCATGTTCCAAGGAGGTTATTTTAGGGACGACAGCAATGGTGAGAGGGAAGGGAAAGGAGGCCCAAGCCTTCCAACCACAGCAGTGCCATGAGGTCCCGTACACTGGACGTGAGTCTATGACTATACTGGGCAAAGGATTTTTTTTCTAATTTTCTCAAACTTTATTCTTTTTTTTTATTCAATTTTTATTTGTACTTTTTTCCCACGGGCAAAGGATTTGAGTGCAAAATAAGTAAACACAATGGAGACCACTAGCTTAGATGATTGTGAGCAGACTTCTTTCCACAGTGTCACTGCCGCCAGTCCCCGAGTTTCCCAGGAAAGCACCCTTGAACAAGGTAAGCGCTCTGAGACGGCTGCGGCATCTGAAAATGGGGGGGGCCCTGGCATTCCCCCCGACCCAAGCTTCCAGCAAGGACGGACGGAAGGGCACATGGCGAGCGCTCACCACGCTGCCCGGCACACAACAGGAATGATGACCACTATGTCACCACTACGGACCCTCCTTTCATTGTGTCGTCTCTCCCGCCTCCACCCAGGGTTTCCAACGACCTGCAGTGATGAAGTGGCTATTGGAGCTTTGGTCCTTGTTCTGCACTGTGCGTTGTTTTCCTTTGGATTTGCTAAAAATAGCTTTCTTGAATGACATCCCCTTCCTGCCCCTCTGATTCTCCAGCCCTGGAGGTCGGGCCCCACCCCTCCTTCCCAAGGGAGGAGACTCACGTGGAACCGGAAGTGGGAGACATCAGAGGGAATGGCCACATTGTAGTGACCCACTGCTTTGTAGACGTTCTTGCTGTGCTTCACCAGCACGCCCTGTGGCCACATGCATTCTTCAGTCCACCTGGAGGCACAGCCCAACAATGCCCTTCACTCCCAGCTCACCCGCAAAAGCAGGTGCCAGAACACTGGGCATGAGGAGAGACCACCAGGGCTCAACTCCCATTTCTATTAGACACAGTGACTTTCCTCTTCGGGGCGTCAGCTGCCTCCTTTGTGAAATGGGGTAAGAATCAGGAGAAATTCACTGTACTGGGAGTCACAGGGTCCAGGGCTGACAGTGATGTCTCAGGGACTGTCAGGATAATCCTTTTCCCTTTCTAGGGGCATCTTCTTCGTCTGGTCTCACCTCTAGCCTCCAATTGCTCCATCACACAGCTGCCTAAAAGGTCTTAATAAAATACCAAACTGAGTCTATTTTCCACCCCAAACCCCCTGAAGGTCTTTGGGGTCAAGTCCCCAATGTTGCATGGCCTTCCATGGCTCCCGGCATATAGGTCACGTCCAAGCCATTTCGGCACTGTTTCTAGGGCCTCCGGTACACCTTACTGATTCATGTCTCTGCATACCTTGCTCCCTCCAATTGGGCTGTCCTTCCTGATGCCTTACCTTTTTGGCAAGCTCTTTGTTGTCTTTTATAACTCAGAATCCTTCAGAAAGCCTCCCTCTAACTCCTCACGGAGTTCAGTAGCCTTTAACTCCCCCTGAATCACATTGTTTATTTCCCTGTATCCATTGCTAGGCTGGGAGCCCTTAGGGACAGGGACGGTGTCCAATTCATCTCTGTGTTCTCGAAACACGCCACAAGGCCTGGCGCACAGGGGCCCCAGTGAGCGTGTGAGTGAAGTGGTGGAGCCAGTGAGCTTTCTTTCAATGTTCTGCCAGACCTTTCCAGGAGCTCTGAGGGTGCTGGGCTAGAGCACTGAGAACCATTGTCTGCAAGAAGCTCAATCCCATGCTCCTGCCTTGTCGATTCATTCATTTAAAAAACAGTTATACTGCTCTATGCAATAGCATGAGTGAACCTCGCAGATAATATGCTGAATTAAAGAAGCTGGACCCAAGATTTCATTTATACGAAGCAGCAGAACAAAGAACTATGGTGAAAGCAAGTGGGAAGGTGGTTGGGGAGGCCACTGGGAAGGGCCATGAGGGGATTGTCTGAGAGGTTGGAAGATGTTCTGTGTCTTGATGGGGGTGGGTACATGGGTGTATATACCTTTATCAAAACTCAAAGAATTATACACTTTAAGATTTATGCATTTCATTGTACACAAATTTTACCTACAAAAAAAAGACGATACACAAAAAATATAACAAATTTGCTGTGGGCCTAGTTTATAAGCCAGGCGCTCTGCCAGGGGTGAGGACACGGCTGAGTGCTTGACAGGTAAGGAGCCTAATACCCGGGAGCTTTTGCCCTGGAATGTCAGGCAAGTCACTGAGCAAACAGAGTCGAAAGTGTTAGTATGATGATCCTGGCAGTATGGGACTGTAGGGGCATCAGGAGGGGCACTTGGATGGTCAGCAAACTATTCCTGGAGGAAGTCAAGTGCTAAAGAATGAATAGGGATTAATCAGAAAAAAAAAGTTTGAAAGGCACGGCAGGCAAGACACGCATCATATGCCAAAGCCTCGATACAAAAATGCATACAGAATTTAAGGATCTGGAGCGGTCTGGCTTGGCTAGAGCAGACTATAACTTGGGCATGGTGACAAACAAGGCAGAAAAGGCTGGCAGGACCCAGGTCATCGGGGGGAAGCCATGCGAAAGAGCCTGGACCTTATGTGCAGACCATGGTGGGCTACGGACAGGTTTATCCTCATATACATCTATATTCTATCTTTCTATTCCTCCCTCCCTTCAAAGCCCAAAGCTAAGCTGAGCCCCCTTTTGGCCCATTTGGCAGTGCCCATCCCCTTTCCTGGACCACCTGGGCAGAGGCTGAGGACCCTGACTGGCACAGAGCAGGCTTGGCCTCTGTGGCCTCCCCTGGCATCTCTGCTTCCAGGTGGGCCTACCTGGAGGCCCTACCTGGGTCAAACCTGTCCCAGTGGCTGGACTCTTCTCTGCCAGGCACAGTGCTGGGCTGAAGACTCGGACGTGATACAGAAGTGGCCCCAGCCTGGAGAAGCTCCCAGTGTAATGGGGCAATACAGGCAGGAAAATCAGCACAACCTGGGTGGAAAGCACTGTGGCGAAGGGCTGCAGAGACGCTTGGCACCATGAAGAATGAGCCAGGCTGTGGGAAGGACAGCCTAGCACTTCGGGGACCCCAAGCAGGGTGACTGGTGCCTCTGCTCTGGGTGCAGTACCGTCTCGCCGCTGGGCCTCTTTCACACCACTCATCCTAACTATCTGTGCACCCAGCAGTCACCCCACCAGACTGGGAACTCAAGAGTTTCCTCTCAGTCATTTCCTCCCTGTGTCTTTTCTTCCCTGGTTCACCACGTTACCAGACTGACGTTTCTTAGGTACACCCTGAAACCGGTCCCTCTACTACTCAAAACGTTCCATAGCTTTCCTCGGCCTGTAGCTCAAAGCTAAACTTCTTTGTCCAATACATTAGCACCAGGCATGGTATGGATTAGGTAGCAATAAATGTCTGCTGAAAAAGCAGATGATCTAATGACTGAATGGATGAGTAAGCAGTTGATAGTGGGGGTGAAGCAATAAAAAAAGCATGAGCAAATCAGTCAATGAGCAAATGAGTAACGGTAATTGAGAAAGTCAATGAGCCTATGAATTTACCGCTTGCCCCTCCCCCACCCCCAGCCTCTAGGACGCTACAAGTTACCTAAGGACAGGGAGCATGTGTGTCTTGGGCCCTGCCATACCCTACTACGGCCACAAGGTGAGGCATCAAGATATGCTCATAGCTGTTTGCCGACTGAAGGGAAGAGCTGCCGAACAAGAAGGTGAGTGACTTCGGACACTGACCAGGAGGGGTGGGGTTGCGCAGGGAAGGGGAGGGCAACTCACGGGTGCTGCAGCACGTTGGAGCACAGCGCTGGGTCCACCTTCTGCCAGCAGCCCAGGTGGGCAGCGGCCTTGTGGAGCAGGTCGCAGTAGCTGGCAGGAAGCAGGTGCTGCATGAGGATCACTGAGGTGCTGATGGATACCAGAAGGAAGAGCTCACAGGACCAGCGCTTGTCATAGTAATGTGTGTTCTGGAGGCAGGAAGAGGTAGCTAAGGCCTGGGACGCCCATAATGGCCTCACTCCATCCCCCTTCCGTGATCCTATCTGCCTCAAGACCAGGACAATGCTGGAGAGAACTCAGGGCGACCTGAAACCAAGGATCTAACACCTAATAAAAAAGGCTTCATCATGGGCATTGACCCTTGCCCACTACTTAGTTTTCTACAAAGAGAAACTGCTCCTGCCGCCCACTGCTCTGAGCCAGGGCACAGGCTCCAGGGGACAAGCGTGGACTCTGGAGTCTGACAGACGAGTTCAAATATCGGTTCTGCTGCTTATCAACTACATAACTGTGGGCAAGTCATTCCACTGCTCCATGGTCTAGCTTCCTCCTCTGTTAAATGAGGGTCAGAGTGACCACCAACCACCTCTGAGAGGCACCTACAGGATCATGATACTCATGAAAGCTCTCGTACACTGTGGGTGCTCAAAAGACTTTAAGTCCTCTCAACCCAAACTATTCAGTGCAGCCCATCCTTGTAGAATGTTTCAGGCCCACAGTCGGCTGGGCAGACTCCTTCCCAGAAGGCCATACGGGCCAGAGAGAGAGCACAGGCCTTTGCAGTCACTCACATGTGGGTGAATCCTGGCTCTTCTACTTAAGGACACTGTGGCATGCCTGTGCCAAAACAGCCCGACTGAAGTACAAGTCACTGCTCTGTTATCAACTATTATGAATAACACTGCCACGTCCTCCACATTGGCTGGGGACCCTATGCAGGTCACTTCCCTTCCTTTCAATGAGCTCTGTTCTCCCCACTCTACAACAGAGGCAGCAAGTCATTCCAGCCCTCAAAAGGAGACACAGAATCTCATCAAAAATAGCTGAGTTATTTGTGCAGCCAGGTCTCCTGGGGCGCAGGCAGTAGGGGAAGGCCCTGGGCAGGCCCCTTCCCACCTCAGGCCGAGCTACTCACCTTCACGAACCAGACAGGCACGAAGGCCACATAATAGGCACTCAGCATGGAGCTGACCAGCACCTCCTTCATGCGCCAGTTGAAGTCCATCTTGAGGAACTCCACCTCGCTGCGGATGAGGCTGGGTGACAGGCAGCAGGCGTGGGTGGGCATGGCGTCGGGGCCATACAGCTGCCGCGTGTGCTGCTTCCACGTCTCCCTCAGAGTGAGCAGGTAGTCCCGGCTCCGTGCCAGGCCGCTCACAGCCTCCCGGGGACCCATGGAAGCTATGTGGCTGAAGAGATTTGTCTTGCGGATGTCGCAGTTCAGCTGCAGGAACGGAATGTACATCCCAAACCTGCCGGGGAAGACAATGGTGAGGGCAGGCCTGCCCACAGGCCAGGGTCCCAGCCGACCCTCGGCCACTGAGGGAACCCTCTTTTCTTCCATGGGCCTTAGCTCTCCGGGCTATTCGGAGGGAGCACTTACCCATCCTCCCACCAACCCACCCTCCCATCCGACAGTCAGACGCTCGACACACGTGCCAGCCCTGCGTGTGCCGAGCACTAGGGACACGGCAGGAAGCGGCAGAGAAGTCCGGGCCTCACAGTCCGCTGCTGACCAGCAGCGACTGTGATGGCCCACAGTAGTTAAGCACAACCTAAGTTCCAGACACTGTACTACCTCCTTTATGTGAATTCTCTTTTTCTTCCTAAGAACACTGAGCATTAGGTACTGTTATTTCGTGCCCTTTTCAGACACAGAAGTTGCAGCTCAGAGGGGTGAAGTGGATTCCCAAAGGTCACACAATTAGTCAGGAAGAAACAGAGCAGGGATTCGAACCCAGAATGGTCTGACACCAGAGATTAGGACAGATGCTCAACAAACACTATGAGTGATTAATTAATTTGAAATGCAGCGCGCACCACGAAAGAGAGGTGTAAGTTGTTATGAGTATGTGTGTTAGAGGCAGCTCTCAGCACACAGAGGGGGGCCGTTCGGGAACAGTATCCGTGTGCCTGTTATGTGCCACTACACTGAAACGGACCCTTGAACGGCACCAATCCCTTCCTCTGAGCGGCACCCTCTGGTTAGGGCTGGCGCTAGCTGGTCAAGGGGTGTTTGGAGTGTCTGGCTGGTACTGTTTGGGAGGAAGGCTAGATGGACCCATAGCCCAGAAGGGTAGATAATGGTAAAAAGTGAGTAAGTGCTGAGCACAGCACCTGGGACAGCAGGTGCTCCTTATCTAGCTCGGGGCCCCTCCATTTCCCCACGTCCTCAGACCCAGACCCAGAAGGGTCCCCGGGCCGCCCCCCAGAAGTTAGGGCCAATGAGAATGCTGCATTTTCTTATCAACAGTAATTTCCTCTCTTCCTGTTTCTGAGGTTCCAAGAAGGGAAATACGAGTGTCCTTGGGCGATTTGCCTCTTTGGGTTTTTCCTTTCTGTTCTGTACAATGGGGACCCGATCATTCTCCCTGGGGTGAGGTCAAGTAGTAAGATAATAGAGAATCTGGTTCAGAGAATAACCTTAGGGGTCAAACAGGCAAGGATTAAAATCCCAGCTCTGCCATTTACTAACTGCTGTGATTTAGGGCAAGTTACTTAACCTCTGTGAGACTCAGTTTCCTTAACTTGCTTTAAGTTACACAGCTTGTATTGATTTCAATGCCAAGCCAGGCATTATGCTAGTGTTTTCATAAATACTCTCTTAATCTTTGCAGTGACCCCCAGCATGATGCTTGGCTCAGAGCATGGCAATACAACTTCTTTTTAAAATTTTTATTTATATATTTTTAGAGAGAGGGGAAGGCAGGGAGAAAGAAAGGGAGAGAGAAACATCGATAAGTGAGAGATACAGTGATTGGCTACCTCTTGAATGCCCCCAATTGTGGACCTGGCCGGCAACCCAGGCATGTGGCCTGACTGGGAATCGAACCAGCAACTTTTTGGTTCACAGGCTGGTGCTCAATCCACTGAGCCACACCAGCCACAGCCAGTGATTCTAAGGGGCAGGAAAGAAGACAGAAATGGGATTCCCAAAACACTCTTTAGGATACCCCGTGGGAATGAGGGGGTGGGGCACCTACATGAACACACAAGGGATTCAGTCAACTGAAGGGCATGGAGTTAAAATCTCCCTGGCTCTGCCTCTAAGAACTGCAGCTTCAATTAAATCCTGTGGTGACTGTCAGGATGGCTGGGGTAGGACAAAATGGCGGCTGGACTACAACCCAGAAGAAATCGCTGACGTCAAACCAGGGCACGAGGGGAACCAACGATGATATGTTGCCGCTTTGTTCAGAGGGGACCAATCTCCAGCCCCCGCGGAGAGCCAACCCAAAATAAAACCCCGCCATTTCCCCTAGCCATTTCCCCTATGCAGCCGTGCTGCACAGCATGGCTTTTCTCCGCCCCCCGCTGTGGGTGCGAGGGGGGGCAAGAATCTCGCCTGTGAGCAAAAAGCCCAATAAAAAGCTCTATACTGCCTAATTTTGTGGCTGATTAGCATTTATTCCTTGGCGAAGCCTAAGAAAACCGATCAGTAACAGCAACCGACTGCTCTGCCAGGTCATGAGTTAGAAGCAGCTTCACGTGCACGATAGCGGATTCCCTCCCATCCTCTCCACCCAAGACGTGACAGTAGGAAATAAGTCCGTATCAGCAGAAAGAACGGGGCGGGTTTATCAGTGCACAAGTGGCTTTGACACATTTAGACAGCGGACAGAAGTTGCTGACAGATGCGGAGGGAAGCCGTCGTGTAAAGCACTGCCGTCTAACAGACCTGTGAGAGTCACACGCGTGATTTCAAATCTTCTAACAGCCACACTAAAAGACAGATATAATTAGCTTTAAAATATTCTATTTTACTTAACTCACTGTATGTGAAATATTACCACTGCAACATATAATCATTGTTTGTAAACAGTATGTTGTACTTACTTACTAATTTTTTTTTTGGACTAAGTCTTTAAAATCCAGTGGGTATTTTACACTTACAGCACATCTCAATTCAAATTAGCATATTTCAAATGTTCAAGAACAAGGCGGCTAGAAACTACTAAACTGGATGGCACAGGTCTAGAATATGCCGTGAGAGGGCTGTACTGGAGGTAGGAGCTTATCTGCCTAGAGTGACCCAAGAGAGACCGGCTTGAAGTGGGCACATGTGATAGACGCCAGAGTGAGAAGCTGGGCTGAACAAATGAGATTAAACGAAGACCTGTACTTATATACAAGAATTGATTCCTTTCTTCTGTTACACACCTCATGCAATGCACCCTGAAGGGTGCAATTTTTCCCTGAACAAAGTGTCTAAGAATTGAGGTCTCCAATCTGGACGTCCTAGAGTAACACTAACCCCCCTTTATCTTGCCCATGGGGGCCCACAGCCTGATAACTAGTACCTTACTTAATTACCCTAAAGCAAAGTTTGCCGGCCAGTGTGCCCTGCCCAAGTCCTCAGAGACCCAGGTCAAATCCCCTATTCTCGTGTACACCGGCAGAGGGAGAGAAAATGCACTCCAAGCTACTAGGTCCTTCATTCTTGAGTATAAATAGACAACCAAAGAAACCAACTATATTTAGAAAACTAGCAGCGTGAAACAGAAAAACTGAGTCAGGTGGAAAGATGAAATTGAGGGAACATAAGAGATTTTAAAAACAAGAACAGAATGCTATGAAAAAAGAATAATCAGAAAATAAGAAAAAAGGCCTTAGAGATTAAAAATATGATTGCTGAAAAAAAAATCTCAATAAAAAAGCTGGAAGATAAAGTTGAGGAAATCTCCCTAAGGCAAAGTAAAAAGAGAGACACAGAAAGAGACAGAGAGAAAGACTGAAGGGAGCGAGAGGGAGAAAGATGAGAAAAATATGAGAGAAAATATTAAGAGGAACAGATGACCAATCTGTGAGGTCTATCAAAGAAATGAAAGAAAATTTCCTTGAGGTGAATACCTAAATCTCTCCTAAAAAAAAAAAAAAAAAAGATGTCATTTGTTTATTTTTAGAGAGGGGGGAAGGCAGAAAGAGAAGGAGAGAAATATCAGTCTGTGGTTGCCTCTCGAACACCCCAACTGGGGTCCTGGCCCACAACCCAGGCATGTGCCCTGACTGGGAATCGAACCTGTGACCTCTTGGTTTGCAGGCTGGCACTCAACTCACTGTGCCACACCAGGCAGGGAGAATACCTCAATTTCTTGGTTAACAAAGTCCTGGAGTACTGATAAGATGAATGAGAAAAACTCTACACCAGACAAATCCTTGTGAAATTTCAAATAATCAAAAGATAAATAGAATATCCCAAAAGAATATCCCTTTCTTTCAGAAAGAAAAAACAAGTCATCTACAAAGTAGCTGGAATCAAACTGGCATCAGTCTTTGGAAACTGGGGATGGTAGAAACAATGGACCAATATCTTCAAAATTCTGAGAATATGAATTTGAATTTAGAAATCTACATTCAGCTGAATCATCAACTAAGCATGAGGGCAGAATAAAGACATTTTTATACATGCAAGGACTCAAAATGTACATGACTCCCACATACCCGCTATTAAGAAAATTACCTGGTATTGCACTTCAGCAAAATAAAGGAGGAAACCAAGAAAGAGGAAGACATGGGATCCAGGAAACAGTGGGTCCAACCCAGGAGGGCAGCGAAGGGGAGTCCCAGGCTGAGAGCTGCACAGCAGGCCTAGAGAGCAACCACTCCAGACTGGAGCAGCACGATGGAGGGCTCCCAGAGGGATGGCTTTGGTGGGGGCAGAAGTGGGAATGAACTCCAGGCAACAGGTAGCATGATTGAGAGGCTGGATAAACTTGAGGATATGTTGAAGGCCCATCATTCTTTTGTTAATAAGAAAAAAGGCCATTAGAAACTTCACGATAAATAGAAAGCTGTACAAGAAAGTTACAATCTAAGTATGAAGCAAATTAAAATATGACATGATTTTAAGCAATTGATGGAATGTAAGAAAAGAGAAACCATTTGACCTTGACACTAGAATATTCTTTTTTAAAGAGGCCCAAGATAAGCCCTGGCTGGCATAGCTCAGTGGATTGAACTTGGCTGCGAACCAAAGTGTCACAGGTTCGATTCCCAGTCAGGGTACATGCCTGGGTTGCAGGCCACGGCCCCCAGCAACTGCACATTGATGTTTCTCTCTCTCTCTTTCTCCTTCCCTTCCCTCTCTAAAAATAAATAAATAAAATCTTAAAAAGAGGCCCAAGATTATAGCTCAGTAACTACAGAGAAGGTATGTCACCTATGCATACTACTTGGCCCTACACTAAATGGTATTTGCATATTCATAGCATCAAGGCAACATCTGTTTTTAATTTTTAGAATTAGCCTTAGACAAAGAATGAAGGACTTAAATGTGCTCATGTACAAGAGTGTGAATGTCAAGTTTGACAATATAAAAGAAAGAGTATCATTGCCAGGAAGTGAGAGGAAGAAGAGGGGAGAAAAAGTGGATGGGCAGGTTCCTAACATCTCCTCTTACATAAAGGCGATGAAGATACTGGCTATTGTTGATAGAACAGAAAATACAGACACACACACATTACTGTAAAAAGATAACCAATAGGAAGCTAAAAGTAGTAAGTTATCAAACACTGCAAACAGCAGGGGTGGAAGAGTGAAATAAATCTTTCACCTGTCATTGCATGTGCACGCATCTGTGTGCACATATGAGAGTGTGTGGGCATGCTTGTATATGCAAAGAACATTTATTTCCAGAATGTACAAGAAACCAGAAACACTGGTGGCTACCTCTGGGAAGGAAAACTGGGTGGCTGGGAAACGGGAGTCATGGGGAGACTTTTTCATTCATATTTTTATACCTGTCGAATTTTAAGCATGTAAGCCTATTATCCCAACTATAAAATCAACACATTTTTGGTCCATAGTCTGGCACTCAATCCACTGAGCCACGCTAGCTAGGGTTTAAAACATTTTTAAAAGGAATAGATAGAAGTATAAGGACACTAGAATTATGGAGGTAACCCCAAAAAACACTTAAAACCAGAAAGAGTGACAGAGACTGCTTTTGAGAAGCGGGACTAAAACTCTGGTGGGTTGGGTTGGAGGCTATTTTTAATTTGAACTTTCGTCTACTGGATTTGATTATTTATTTAAATATTTTTTTAGATTTTATTTATTTATTTTTTGGAAAGAGGGGAAGGGAGGGAGGAAGAGAGGGAGAGAAACATCAATGTGTGAGAGAAGGTTGCCTCTTGCACACTCTCAATGGGGACCTGGCCTGCAACCCAAGCATGTGCCCTGACTGGGAATCGAACACGTGACCTTTGGTTTGCAGGTGGGTGCTCAGTTCACTGAGTCACACGAGCTAGAGCTGGTTTTGATTTTTTAAATGAGGTATGTGTATTACATTCATAAACATCTAAAAATTAAAAAAATAAGGCAAAATATGAACACTGGATGATGTCTGTATCCAAGGAGAATGGACTTATCAGAGAGTAACCAGGGAGGGTCAAATAAAGGGGACTGTTGACAATTTTAATCAGTACAAACATTCTGGAAGGCCATTTGCTAGTATCTGTAGAAAATGTATATGGAACCCTGGCAGGTGTGACTCAGTGGATTGAGCAGCCTGCAAACTGGTTCGATTCCCAGCCAGGGCACATGCCTGGGTTGTAGGCCAGGTGTCCAGTAGGGGCGTGCGAGAGGCAAAAGATTGATGTACATTTTGTACATCGATGTTTCTCTCCTTCTCCCCCACTCCCCCCTCTCTAAAAATAAATAAAACCTTTTTAAAAATTGTAGATGGACACAACTTTTGGTACAAAAATTCTACTTCTGGGAATCTGCTGAACAGAAACATTGGACCAGTGTGCAAAGGTGTATGCAGAATGTTCCCTGCCCTCATTGTTTTAAATAGGGAGAACCTGGGAACAACTCAAAAATCTACCAATAAAGGACAAAACAAATTGTGAAAAATCTATACAATGGAATATTATGAGGCCATTAAAAAAAAGTGAGGCAGACTCACATGTATTGCCATGGAAACACAGCCACGTTATGTGATTGTGAAAAAAAAAAACGTAATAAATTGCACCACATCATACACAGTATAATCCCACTTTCGTTTTTTAAGAAGTAGATGTGTGTGTTCTCGCACGACAAATACATGGAAGGGCCCTAGCCAGCGCGGCTCGGTTGGAGCACCGCCCCATACCCCAGAGGGCTACAGGCGTGGTCTCTGGTCAGGGCACATGCCTGGACTTCGGGTTTCGATCCCTGGTCACGGCGCGTACAAGAGGCAAGCAACTGACGTTTCTCTCCCTCCCTCCCTCTCACTCTCTTTAAAATCAGTAACCATGTCCTCTGGTGAGGATTAAAGAAAAAAATGTTCCATTAAAAAAGAAAACATGGAAAGGTATGCTTCAAGTCGTGGTTTTCTGGGGGGACTGAGATTATGCGGACTTTTATTTTCTATGTGAAAAGTACCTATGAAGTTCAATGTTTTTATATGATATGTGTCATTCTTCTAATTAAAAACGAGATGTAGCTCCTCCCACTACAGTGCCCTTTTGGCCAAGCCGGGTAGAGAGGGAGGAGTGTCCAGTTCTGAAGTTCCCAGGGAACAGGGCTGGTTCAACCTGGGGAAGCTCATAAACCAGAAAGCTCAGTGGCTGGGAAGTAACTGCTGATGTCCAGGCAGCCAGGAGGCTGCCTCAGGAACAGCTACAGTGGACACCTTGCCAAAGTCCTCCCCAGTCCCAGGTCAGGAAGGGACAGTTCTGGGCTCCCCTCAGACATGACTTCTCCATCCTCAACAACCTGGGTTCTGGCAAGATGGAGGGAGTGAGTGACCCAAAAAGACACAAAGACAGACACAGACATCTGCATGTGCAGATACACACGCGTGCTTCATGCAGACACCCACAGAAAACATGCACACACACAGGTGCCTGCATGCACACGCACAGGTACCTGCATGCACACAGAACCGTGGGAGGCACCAGGAGCTTGCATGTGTGCCGTGTGTTTACCAGCACACACGGAGACAGAGAGACAGAGAGAGAACCACAGACAAGGGAGGGGTGAGAGATGGAGAGGAAGCGCATGCACTCTCCGTCAGGGACCTTCCTTTGGGACATATACTCAGACCTGCGCCCCGTCCTGACCTCCCTGTTGGTCGCACCTTGGGTGAGTTATGCTCTCAGTTTCTGCTCCTGCAAAAGGTGGCTAATCCCTCTATCTCAGGGGGATACTGTCAGACAATGTGAGGGGCATTGTCATTGCCCTGCCTGTGAGTCTCCTGGGTGTGGGGGCCTGGTGACCCAGCTACACACAGGACAAAGGTCAGAGCTAGGTACCAGGCAGTGAGGGGTGAAGTGAGGGGTACTCACGGATAGCAGAGGAACAGGAGGTTCAGGAAGGAGTAGGTCCTGAAGAGGTGGATGAGGGAGCGGCACAGACTCCAGCCTGTTGCCGTGAGAACGGTGAAGCGGGTGAGGAACAGCAGGATGGAACGAAAGAGGGAGACCTTCCCCCTCTGAGAAGCCTGGGTCAGGGTGAGATAGGGCGGGATGGAGCCTTGGACGAAGGCCACAGAGGCTCCCAGCATGACCTGTGACCCCACCCGGGGAAACACGGGGCAGCAGGCTAGGCAGAACCTGGCAAAGTGAGTCCTCGATACCCAGTGAGCTCCAACATCTGAAGGGATGAACAGTGTTCTTCAACCAAGTCCGAAGGGAGCCCCAGGGAAATGCCTCAGGGTTGAAGGGCTCCGCATGTCCCCTTGGTACCCCCAGGAGAACGGGAGTCCCAAAGTCCCCAGCCTCTAGGACCCAATCACCTCCTTCACGATGGACCCAATGAAGCGGCGGCCCAGAACAATGGTGGTCACCATCAGCAAGTTGAAGTCGATCAGGTGGAAATTCTGTCGGGAGCAGAGGCTGGGGGTCACGTGGGCCCCCCCGCCCACATACAAGCTATTCTCATACCCACCTCCCCCTGCCCAGTCCTTTCCATAGGGACTGTCCCCACTCTCTGACCTTCATAGGCCTCCAGCTGAGTCAGGACAGGAAATTACCTAGAGGAGTAGAACAGGACCCAGAGGAGGGAAGTGGGAACGTCCCTGGAGATAAGAGAGCGGTGTGTGAGCCCTCTTGCTCTGATCACCCATGCCCCTGCCCCTGAACCTCTCTTTCTGCACGGAGATCTTTCCACTCCGTGAAACACTCATGTGTGCCTGTGGTTCAACTCCCCCAAGGACTTAAGAAGGTACTCCTTTAGGCAAAATATCAGATTCATCTCTGCTACTCTTCCAATACCTAGTGTGCTGAGCACATCAGGATTGAGTATTCAGGAGTCACCAGTTTCCTGTTCCTTCTACATCTCCCTTGCCCCACATGAGGCCAAGTGCACAGGGTGCTAGGTAAGCTATGTTAAACTGAAACCAGACACCACTGACTCACTCACACACACACAGCTGGTCCTAGCTGGGCACCTACCAGGGAGGTGTGGGAGGGCGGGTGGGAGGGTGGGTACCACCACACTGTCTTGTAGATGTTGATGTAGTGAACGAAGAGGGCTACGAGCTGGCAGAAGAAGAGCTGCAACTCAAACAGAATGCTGGCTTGGACTGGCAGCTCGGGGATCTTGCAGTGTTGCAGGGGCACGACCGTCTGGGTGGCCAGTGGGGGGCTAGAGAGACCCGGCCCAGAACTGCTCCTGGGGATAGAAAGGGAAAACATCAGGAGCTGAACTGAGAACCCTACCAAGAAGGGCTCTGGGGCACAGGATTATGGGGTAGGATCAGAAAAGCAGTTCATGGCAAGAATGGAGTCCCTAACTACCTGTCACACAAGGGAGTCAACAGCCTTTTTCTATTCCTAATCTTGGTCAGGCTTCCCAACATTCCCCAGGAAGAAAAAATTATTAGGTCCATTTTATAGATGAGGAAAAGGAGGCCCAAAGAGGGGAGACACCCAACCAAGGCACCAGCAAAACTGTAACTAGGATCCAGGCCTTTGGGAGTCACTATGTCCTGCTGAAGCTGTCCAAATGACCACCCTCCGGGTTTTCTCTGCTGCTCACTGCCTTCTGAACCCCTCCCCGGAATCTGAGGTATCGCATCCTAGAGCCCAGTCAGGGACAGCTTAGTCCATACTGCCCCTGTGAGCCCACAGTGAGAGGCAAGAGACAGAAAGGTGGTTTACCTGGTACGGGAACGGACACTAGTGACTGATGTGCTGGAAGTATGGCCCCCACCAGAGCCCCCAGAGGATCCTGGCTCACAGAGTGGATTTCGACAGTAGGATGTCCTGTTGGGACCTCTTCGTCCTCCTGTGGGGCTCAACATAAGGTAGAGGGTCAGGCGAGAGGGCATATGTCAAGGATAACACCAATGATCCTGGCTACGTTACCTGGTGTCTCACTTTACCATTTAATCACAGAGACCTATGATCTCTTCCCTGCCTACCTCTTCAACGTCATATACTATTTTCTGTCTCACCTCCACGCCTCAGCCATGCTAGTCTTTCTCTCCTTAGGCAAACCAAGTTTGTTGTTACCTCTTGTACTTGCTATATCCTGTCTGGAGAGCCCCTCCCTGACTGCCATTTTTGAAGTATCTATTTCCATTATTCTCCCTCCTCCCAACAATTCACTCTTAGAATTTATCTTACTTATTTGTTAACATATTTATTGTCTGTCTTACCCACTAGAATGGAAGGTCAGTGAGGTCACTACACTTACGTCTTTTTCTGTTGTGTCACCTACCCCTACCACAGTGCTAAGCATTAAGTCAAAGCCCAATAAGAATATGCTGATGAGTGAATGAAACCAGCAGGGTAGGTTTTCCAGTGTAGGAAATTGAGTTTATACTGTGTCTGGGTCCTGTGCTCTTAGGTCTGGTGTACGCTGCCCCATTCAGATACTACACAGTTTCTATAGGCTTACAATTCTGGACACTCTTGAAGCTTTTTCCTTGAGGACCAGAGATCCAGTTCAAGGGGCATCCTGGTGTCTTATGGTCAGGACTCAGGGGCCTGAGCACAGAGTCAGGGATGTGGACTTTGGGAGAACTGTGTGGTTGTGGACCCAAAACTTGGACCCACAATCTGTTTCTCTAGCTTTAGCAGTCTAGCCCAAGCTCGCAGGCACCATCCTGCTTATAAGCCCTGCGCCAGTTCTAGTTAAGGTTATAGCCTCCTCGTACATACCCCTTCAGGGCAATACAGCAGCCTACACAACACACTCCCTTTGCCCTAGTTCCTCAGTTTGGAAGCTTTTTCCACAAGTTTCCACAAAACACTTGTCCACGAACTCTGCCCCCAACCAGCCCCCAGCCCAGATCTGTTCACACACTATTATACTTGGTTTAGAAAATCCCACACAAGCATCCACAGCCCAAAAGCTCTGCCCACATTTACTTTCCCCTCTTTAGAAGCTGTGCACCTACACAAGCACCCTCAGCCCAGAAGTCCCGCCTACACACAATTGTCAGTCCAGAAAACCCGCCCACAAGCCAATAAAAGGTCTGTCTGTCCAGAAGCCCCGCTCTAGAATGGGGTCCCTTAATCATAAGGTCCCCTTTCTGCCCCACCACTGCCGGTTTAAAGCCCCTACAGCTAAGATCGCCCCCGCCCCTAGCGTTAAGGCCCCGCCCCCGAGCCTAGCCCCGTCCTCACCAAAGCCCAATCCCCCACAAGTCCCCTCATTTTAGAAGTCCCGCCCATCACTTAAGTGTCCCGCCCCCACAAAACGACAGGAGGGGGCGGGGTCCCTCTGCGCCAGTGTCCCCTCCCCCTCCCCTCTCCGAGGTCCTGTCCGCGTGTGGGAGCAATTAGCAGTGTAGCCATCCCAATCCCCGCGCCCGCCCGTCCCCGGGCCCGGACCCGGACCCGCTCTGCTCACCCATCTCCTCCCCCCGGCGCTCTCCGCTTCGCCGCCGCAGCTCCTGCGGGCAATATGTCGGAGGCGACGGCGGCCGGGAGAGGACCAACCGCCGCAACCCAGTCCCTGTGTATCTGCCGCGCGCTCCCGCCCTGCCGCTAAATTTACATACAAGGCGGGCTAGAGCACGGGGGCGCGCTCCTTAAAGAGGCAGTCCGGACAAAGGCGGGGCCAGCGCGGTCTTTGTCTCTCAGTCTCCCACGCCCTTCCTGCTGCAGCTGCTGCCGCTGAAACCTGAGAGGCTGGGAAACCCAGGTCCTGCTCTTCCGCCTGTCCCTTCTCCCAGCATCTCCTCGGGCCCGAGGGAGAGGGCTGGAAGACGCCTCTCATCTCAGTTCCCACCTGAGATGGATTGTATCCTTGAGTGGCCCACAGGCTCCTCAAACTCAACACCTTCCAAATTGGGCTGTCACCTTTCTTTTCGGCTTTATTGCACTTTGGTCCACCCAGTCAAAACCTGGGTGTTATTTCCCCATTTCCCCCGGCCCCCATCTCGTCTTTTACCTAGTCTTACCGACCCTAATATCTAAATATTTCTCACATCTGAGCCGACTTTGCCACCACCTGTTCAAATTCTAACTCGGCCAGTTCCCAGCCTTGAAGTACTGTTTCTTGCCCTTTACAGTGAGGTTGGGGATATTCACGTTATGTCTTGGGGAGGATTAAATGAGATCATGCATGTAGATAGAACAGAGTCTGTTTTATACATGCTAGCCATCATTATGATGATGATGTATGGCAAGCGTTAACAGAGAGGAAGCACTCAATAAATGAGGTACTACTACTAATTGTTACGGTTTCTTCCCTCATAAGACTTGTAAGCTGTGTTAATCACCTTAAATTAGTAAATTCTGTAGTATGTTAGAAAGGAATGATTGCTGTGGAGGAAATAGGAAAGGGGGTTGGGTGGCAGGTCACCATTATATACAGAGAAGTCAGAGTAGGCTTCACTGAGGTGACTTTTGAGCAAACACTTGAAGGAAACAAGTGAGTCAGTCATGCAGATATTTGGAGAAAGGGGGCCTTCTAGGCAGAGGAAATCAGTGGAAAGGCCCTAAGGCACAAGCTTGCATGCCAGGTGTATTGAAGAAACACCAAGGAGCCCTGCCTGGTGTGGTTCAGTGGACTGAGCGTGACCTGTGAACCTAAAGACCATGGGATAGATTCCTGGTCAGGGCACATGCCTGGGTTGCAGGGCCAGGTCCCTTCTGGTTGCATGCAAGAGGCAACCACACATTGATGTTTCTCTCCTTCCTTTCCCCTTTCTGTTATTTAAAAAAATAAATAAAATATTAAAAAATTTGAAAAACAAGTAATTTATTTAAAAATAAATAAAATAAGCCCTAGCTGGAATGATTCAGGGGATTCAGTGCTGGCCTGAGAACCAAAGGGTCGCTGGTTTGATTCCCCATCAGGGCACTTGTCTGAGTTGTGGGCCGGGTCCCCAGTAGGGGGCCGTGAGAGGCAACCACACATTGATGTTTCTCTCCCTCTCTTTCTCCTTTCCTTCCCCTCTCTCTAAAAATAAATAAAATCTTTAGAAAAAGTAAATAAAATCTGAAAAAAAGGAGATACAGTTTAGTTAAACAAAGAACTCCCCAATCTAGCATACCTAGTTTTACCGACCCTAAGGTCTAAATATTTCTCACATCTGACCCTACTCTGCCACCACTTGTTCAAATTCTAACTCGGCCAGTTCCCAGCCTTGAAATACTGTTTCTTGCCCTTTATAGTGAGGCTGGTAATATTCACATTATGTGAATGTTAAAGAAAAGAAAGAAAGAAAGAGAAAGGAAGGAAGGAAGGAAGGGAAGGGAGAAAGAAAGAAAGGAAGGAAGGAAGAAAAAGAAAAAGAAAGAAAGAAAGAAAGAAAGAAAGAAAGAAAGAAAGAAAGAAAGAAAGAAAGACGGGCAAAACATCAAGAAGGCCAGTGTGGCTTGGATAGAATGAGAAAAGATGGACCATAGAGGATTGTGTGGCTTTATTCTAAGTAAGATAGGGAGCAGTTGGAGGGTTTGAACTTCCATGTTTAAAGACTCACTGTGGCCTGCTCTGTGAGAACAGAATGTAGGGGCACAAGGTTGGAAACAAAACCAAACATGACCCTATGGCAATGACCTTAGGAAGAGATGTTAATGGGTGGTACCAGATTGAGTGAGGTAAGACATGATTGGATTTGGGATTTGAAGTGAAAGTCAACGGGATTTGTTGACAGGTAAGTGGAAGAGAAGACCAAGGATTACTCCAAGGTTTTTAGCTTAGGCAAATGGAAATACAGAGTTTAATCCCACACATACACATCTGTTAGAGCTTTTACACCAAGTCAGGGCTCCCCTTCTATGGTAAAAAGGCCTGGAAGTGGTGGGGGCTGGGGAGAGGGAGGAGAATGACCAGGCCGCAAAGCAGAATCGAAACCAGGACAGATTTTTTTCCCCAGCCAAAGAAATTCTGGTAGAAGAACTGGTTCTGGCCCCTTTAGAGTTTGAAATGTAGCTCGTTAATTTCTGAATCCTCAAAGCATAATACTACCTGGCGTATGACCGGTATTCAAAGTAACTTTTAATTCAGTTGAATTGAGATAATGGCAAATTGACTCTTGAAAGGAAGGCCAACTGGGGAGGGAAGCTAAATGGTTTTAGGAATATTCTACAGAAGCCTGAAGACAAGCCATACCTGGGGACTGATTTTAAATCAGGCCAATAAGCTTAATTGAGCATCTAATATATCATGGACACTAGGGATACAGAGATGCCGCTTATTACTGGAGGAGACAAAGAGAAGAATCAATTTTTGGTACAGTGTGTTATTATTAGTATGTATCAAGTTCAGGGGTGGATGGAAGGTGACTAACTCTGACAGTGGTGGTAGGCAAGAGGCGGCTTTGTGGGAGACGAAATCAGAGCTGGTTTCTGAGAGATGAAGGGGAGTTTGCCTGTTACACCCCTATGGGAGGAAGCAATAGCTTGAGTCTGGCAACTGTCTTACTGGAGGTGGTGTCAGAGGAATATCTTGCTCTGCATTTATTATGTGGAAAGTGCTGGATGTTGTACATGGTGAATACTCAGGAAATATTTGCCAAATTGATTTTAGGGCATTTATACCACCCAGGGTAAGAGTTCCCTCAAATGAACTGTTATGCATGTGACCCATTACCTGCGCCTCTTACCCACCTTGTACAGGTTGACTATTGGTTTTGCCTGCCCAGCACCTGTTCATTCCTTCTTCTGGTAAGAACACTGATTTTCCCTTGGGGACTACTCTTTCTTCCACTCAGTTCCTGCAGTTCTGTGCAGGTGCCTCACTGTGGCGCAGTTCCAGTATGGGTAGATGGCTCTGGCCTGGTACATTAAAGCGTTCCACCCCTGCCACCTCAGTGACAGTGACGGGTTGCAGGAAGGGGGGGAAGGTGTGGCAATGACCTGCTGCAAGCCAAATAAGATGCAATTCTAGGATCTTTGCTAGAATTATTGGGAAATAATTTTAACTTCTGGAATGGCTAAGCAAATAGGATGTAAGTATGGAACTCTTGGTGGGTATCTTGCTACTTTTATGGAGAACTTAACAGACAATGAAGGAGACACAAGGATATCTGAAGCCTTTGTGGACTTTCCTATTACAAAAAGCCAGTTTGTGTTTGATATCTGACATCTGCACATGAAACAATCCAGAACATACACTTCTATCAGTCTCTAGCAGAAATATCAGGGTATATGTAGTCTTTTCGTACAGGCTGTCTGGGGAAAATAATTATAAGAGGGCAGGATGTTGGTTAGGTTCTGTTCTCCAGATCTGAGGCCGCACATCTCAGCTGTTTCGTGACCTTAAAGCCCTCACTTCCCTTCTCTGTGTCTTCATTTCCTGATGACTTGCTCTCTATTGGCTCTTCCAGGAGACTGGATTTTTGAGGAAATGCCACTGGCTCTAGGCCAGTTCTGTGTCACTGGGTGTCAGGAGTTACAATCTCTTCCTTGATCATGTTATTCTGGGGCCATGGCTGGCATGTCTGTCCTCTAGATCAGTAGTTTTCAACCTGGAATATGCAGACCTTTGGTGGTACACAGTGGAGGTGCTGAAACCACAGGGCAAAACACAATACTGCTTTCTGGAGTGCCGTTTAATTCATGGAAATGTAAGGCAATATTTTCAATACCCAAGTGTAGTTATTCAGAGCACCTGCTGGGAGCCAGACTTAAATGAATTCAAATCCTGGTTCTACCACTTACTAGCTGCATGACCTTAGGATTACTCAACCTCCCTGTGCCTCAGCTTCCTCAAACTACGAAGGTAGTATCAGTACCTATCATATGGGATTATGGTAAAAGTTAAGTTAGTCTGTGTAAAGGATTTAGAACATTGCCTGGTACATAGTAAGTATCATTTAACTATTAACTATTACTGTTAAAACATGGATATATTATGAAGTGCAAAGAAAACTAGTGTAATTTTAAGATCCAAGACTTTGAAGACGTGTCACCTGCAGCTCTGACCCAGCTGTCCTGGGATTTGCTCTCACCTTCTTCTGCCAGCAAGAAGAGTTACATCTGCGGGGAAGAGGGAAACCCTGTGTGCTGCTGGCGGGGATGTAAATGAGAGCAACCACTACTGAAAACAGTTTGGAAGCTCTTCAAAAAATTAAAAATAGAATGATCCTGCAACTCATCCTTGTGTATTTATCCAAAAATGAAAGCACTAATTCGAAAAGATGTAGGCATCCTTATGTTCACTGCAGCATTGTTTACAATAGCCAAGGTATGGGACAACCTTAAGTTGTCCATTGATAAAGGAATGGATAGAGACGGTGTGATATGCAGTGGCATATTACTCAGCCATTAAAAAGAACAAAATCTTGCCATTTGCAACATGGATGGACCCAGAGGGTAATGTACTAAGTGAAATCAGAGAAAAAGACATATATTGTATCATTTCATTTATAAATGGAATCTAAACAAGAGAAATGAACAAAATATAACAATTAAAATTAAAAATGTTATTTAAAGAAAAAGAAATGAACAAAATAGAAACAGACTTGCCTTGGCTGCTGTGGTTCAGTGGATTGAGCACTGGCCTGTGAACCAAAGGGTCAC